TTTTTTGAAATTTTTAAAACATTTTTATTTAAGTTACTATTTATTTTCATTTCAGTTTGTGCTTTATATCGGACTTATCATTATTTTGTATATATTATCGTTCCCGTTAACGGTACTCTTTGAAATGCCTTACCGCAATATTTCCAGTTTATTGACAAAGCGAGGTTCGGCGAAGCGAGTGAAGTCATCTTAACTTTGTCTAACGACAGTATCTACCAATAATGTTTATATAAATTAAAAACAAAAAATTTTTTATAATAAATCAATCGTTTATTATATTTAATTACAGCATGCACATGTGATCCCTCACAATTTTAGTTTCGCTGCAAATTTCAGTGAAAATCATCAGTTACAGCTTGACAGGTGCTTTCTCAGAAATCTAATAAGCCACTTTCTTTTGAAAATTTAGCTTTTACGTTATCCCGCGGAATAAGTTCGTCCTGACTAACCTGACCTAACCAGTAGACACTGCGCGAGTGATCCTTTTTCTTCTTTGCTCGTTGTAATCAATTGATATTCACCGGATGCACTACTAATTATTTATAAGCTTATTATTTATATGTATACAATATAGTAAAATCTATACACTTTTTTACCAATGGTTGCTTGGTCGAGAAGAGCGGCTTAGGGCGGCTGCACTTAGAATTACTCCCGATTAGTAACCTAATTAAGCCGGCAACCCAGGGGATTTTTTAGAAAACACGACTTTTTCCATCCCAGTTGCCCAAAGTTTTATTTGGATGAAGCATTCAGAGCCGTACAATATATCCCGTTCATCCGGCTGAAAATTGGGCATATCCAACAAAAATGCTCCAGCGTCTCATCATTCACCTCACATCCGTTTCTTTCGACCGATACCACTTTTCCATTTAATCTTAGGGGTAGATGTCCTGTGATAATTCCTATAACATTGTTAAGTTCGCTTTTAATCTAGTAGAAATTGTTTGGTATTTGATATACCCTGTTCTGGTAGTGTTCCAAGAACTGAGATGTTCCTCTAAGGCCCATGGTTTCAAACAACCCTTGAAGCAATTGTGTTCCCAACTGCCCCGAGCGGGCTAACTCTTCTGCCCTTTCCTTTCCTTCTACTTCTATATGAGTGGGCACCCCCATGATATTAATCGATATTCTAGTTATCGCCTGCTGGAAGTGAGACATAGTATTGATGATACAAGTAGCCTTAATTGTCGCTTGTCGGGGCAATAATATTAAGAGCAGAAGACCACTTGGCCCCTTCTGACATACCTACAATTTCAGCCTGGAAGACTGAATTGTAGTTATTTAGTTTGAAGCTTGAAACTACCTACTTCGTATGGAATACTGCAAAAGAAGCCCATTGCTGTCCTTATTTCACACTTAGATCCATCGTTGAATATGAGTATTTCGTGTTTTCATAAAAGAATGTTGGAAAGACACGATGTAATTGTCAGAGATCTTACTGGCATCATTGGAATATCGGAAGGATCAATGAAAGCAATTTTTAAAGATCATTTGAGAAAAGTGAAGACATGATTGGTTCTTTTTTCGAAAAGCAGCGTCGTGTTAAAATGTAACAATAATGTTTTCTGACTACCTGGATGTTATAAACACTTTTACTGCTTTATTCCGTATTCGCCTGATATCGACTTTAACAACTATTTCGATAATTGGAAAAAACGTTGTCACAAGTGTATTGGGTCCAAGAGGGACTACTTTGGGATGGACGACATAGATTTTGAAGAATAAATTAAGAATTTTAAAATTATGAACAAAGCCTGAGTATTTTTATGCTCATAGTAGTAAAATATAATAACTTTTTATTAATAATCTTAATCTTATATTTTATTTATATTTTTCAAAAGCTAAATAATTGTCAAAGCTTAGTTTTGATTAATATCCAAACCCTTAATAGTTAAAATATGTACATATATTTGAATAAAGTTAATAATATATAACGCAATATTCTTTAAAATAGTCAACAAAAGGCAGCTAATGTCAAACAGTTTGACTAAATCTCGGCAACTGATCAGTAAGTCGAAGGACAATTTCGGTTATTACAAATATGTCCCTGCTAACGGACAAAACGCCTTTTCATGTGGACTATCGCGTTATTTATGCCGCCCATAATTCCGCGTCCGAATGTAACTGTCAATATTTGATCACCGTATATTTTGAAAGTGAAGACAATGCTCAAAGTGAAGGCAATGGCGTTTAGGGCGGGAGATTTTTATAAAATGATTGCATTCAAATTAGTCGTCGTTTTTGTCACATACACACTGTTTATGACTTTGTACGCTTATTATTTGCGCACAAGATGCTTACGAAGTACAAACGTTCAAGTAAAACCAAGCTCGTTTGAGGCTTTTGTACTTTGTTACGATTTCCAATTAAATTGCTCGAAGATACTAGCACCACCCGATACTGCGTCTAATAGATTTGCTTTCTTGAATGGTTGACGCATGCATTTTTTTATACTTTCATATTGTTGAAAGTTATCTCCAGCAATCCGACACAGACTACTCACTTATGTGAGTCGTATGGAGTTGGCCATGGATGCATTTTTTCTAATCAGGCGAGTTTAGAATTCAATTTTTCTATCAAAATTATATTTAATTATTATATACAAATACTTTGTGTAGTGGATTTCTACAGACTATAGTTACTTACGAAATCGAAGTGAATTGGAAGGTATAAGACGATTAAACTTCGGTCGAAGCATTAGCGAAATCTAAAACTGACTTTTCACCGTTATCTCAGGTGAGTTATCTTTAAAGTTCGTCAAATCTAGAAACGTTAACTTCGATAGCAGAGAAGTTATAATATCCTTCAAATATAAAATAGTTAAAAAACAAAATGATTTTAAATGTATGGTAGCCGTGTGTTATATTATTCCGATCTAAAAAACTGATTCGGAGATTGTATTATCGTTTTGAACAGAAAACTTCCTACAGATGCCATACAAAAAAAGAAAGTTTTCCATACAATAACTTTATTTTCATCATCCAGTTTGTATGGCAGATAATGGGTGATCCAGTTCGATCTTTCCTAAGATCGAAAAAACACAGATATTTCAATTATAATGGGGAATGTTTATTATCCTTCGAAAAAACATTCTTTGGCAATTATTTTTTGAAATTTATCTATTTCAAATGTTGGCCGCTGCTACATCTCAGATGGTCCATCCATTGAGTCCAATTTTCGATGACTCGTTTGAACATTTCGTCTAGTGAATAATGACACCCGTGATGTTTTGTCCCAATACCGGAGTCGAAGCGAAATTGTCCACAGAGATTTTAGCTGGTCACGGTTATCAATTATTTATATATATTTTATGAGTTCTCCGACTTTTCCTGACCTTTTTGTAAAAATAATATTCTTTCAGCTATTATCTGACAAATGCTTCTAAAAAGATATACACACTTCAAGTCGTTTGTCCAACTCAGAAACCAGCGTTTCCAAAATACTCTCATACCTCCGAAATGGGAAATTAACTATGAACTTTCGGAGAATATTTTGAAATATATGCAAATTCTATTTATGTATACACCGAACAATAAATCGATTTTTTGAAATTCACAAGTGGATATAAAACCTTAATAGAGTGCCCTAGTCGGAAAGAATACAACTTCTTTCATATTTTATGTCAATTCTAGATTAGCGTTGCCTTTCTACTGCGGGCAGTAAATTGGTGTTTGTGAAACCGATCCCAATGAAAAATATGGGTTTTATGAAAAAATTAGGAAAAATAAAAAGAAAATGTAAGACTAATATTATCCTTACACATATTTTCCAATAAAATTAGTCAAAGCTTTTGTTTATTATTTTAAGTAAAAAATAATAATACTCAAAATTAATTATTATTTTCCAAAACTATTTTAAACGCTTCTAAACTATAAAATACATTTTTTTATTCGGCAAAAGTTTTTGTTGTAAAAAAAGTATTTTTTTTTTTTTGAAATTTATTAACATTTCTATTTAAGTTACTATTTATTTCCATTTGATTTTGTGCTTTATATCGGACTTATCATTAAAAATATTGTATTAAAACAATACAAGGTCTGACAGGAGACTGAAATCGGGTACCACGGTGAGCAGTTAGCCCTTGGAGTTCTTTGGAGAGATTCGAGGTGGCTGTGGTTTCAACCTAAAGCAGGTAGGATTGAAAAAACCAATACAGTGTGGAGTTGCTCTGCAGCCGGTTGCGGACCCACAGCACGGCAGAGGTTTTAAATCGGCCTCGCAACCGACCAAGGGAGAAAATACGTGCAAAAAGCATTTATTAATTAGGGCGCTGATCAACGCATTGCATTGCTTTAAAAAGCACGGTGAGATTAGGCAGATTAGCATCTGATTTTATATCATTTTATGCTGAAATAAATTCACTTGTGAAGGGTATTATAGCTTCGATACATCCGGGGTTAAAGTTTTTTCTGGTTTTTTGATATTTATTCCACCCAAATAAAAATCGATGAGTGACTGAGGAAAATCACGGCAAATAAAGAATAGCCAAGGATAACCCATCGAAGAAATATAATATATATACATAGATTATTGTAGATAAATGTTGAAACATTCAAATTTTTAAAAGAAAAGAAGTAATATATTTCAATTCAACTTCTAATACATTTTGCTTTGGTGAATATTGACAAATATTGCCACATCCAAGGTGTGAAATCTCCTAAGATTAATAATTCAAATTCCACATGGGTTAAATTGCAGCTATATTATATTTCGAAAGCAGAGATTACTCAATTACACATTACTTGATCATACTAGTCGCTTTAAACCTATTAGAGAATGCATTTATAGGGAATTTCGTTGGAAATGGTGTCTACTTGTTTGAGGATGCTGATTTTCTGGAAGCTTGTTAATGTACGAACGCCTTAAAATTTCATATAACACATCCGTTGCGTATGTTTACTCAGAAAATAACTTTGGAAGCGTAAGATATTCAATTTTACGTACGCACATATAAAATATAAATACGTCATCTCATGACGTAGATTCACAATAGAGATAAACAAATATTTATTATACTACAATAACAGTTTTACTTCTTCGTTAAGTATGTACATAACTAACTTGATTGTTGTAACTCCCAAAACTTGAATGTTTGCTTATAAAATTAAAATCACTGACACACCCAGAAATAAGAGTGTCTTAGCATGCATATATATATGTATATATGAACATATTGTATTTCTTATGTATATTTACGTTGCATTACCAAGGCATAAACGGAAAGAAATCCTAACGTAAACAGCACAAATACATGCACAGCTATGGTTAGACACACACATCCAC